TATACAAAACTTGCCAAAACTCAGGTTCCTCGAATACACGTAATGCATACGAACTGGCCCGGTACCGAGCTGATGTCAAAACTTGCCATATCTGTGTCTCCAGCAATGCACGTAGTGTATGCTAAGCAAGTTATACAAAACTTGCCATAACTCAGGTTCCTCGAATACACGTTATGCATAAGAACTGGCCCGGTACCGAGCTGATGACAAAACTTGCCATATCTGTGTCTCCAGCAATGCAGCTAGTGTATTTTTTTTTTGGTGCTGTGCTCTAAGCAGGTTTAAACAATCCGCGTAATGTATGCGAACTGGCCTGGCAACCAAGCTGATAACAAAACTTGCCATATCTGTGTTTCCCCAAATGCACGTAGGTGTATCCTGAGCAAGTTAATACAAAACTTGCCATAACTCAGGTTCCTCGAATACGCATAATGCATGCGAACTGGCCCGGTACCGAGCTGATAACAAAACTTGCCATATATCTGTGTCTCCAGACTCCAGCAATGCACGTAGTGTATGCTAAGCAAGTTTATACAAAACTTGCCATAACTCCGTTTCTCAAATACACGTAATGCAGGCTAACTGGCCTCCTACCAGCCAATCAACAAAACATGCCATATCTGTGTTTCAGACATTGCGCTTAGTGTATGCTAAACAAGTTCACCAAACCATAGTGACCGTTTTAGCCGATTTCCGGCTAACTTCCAGTTTGACAGACAATTTGACAGAATGGATCATTTTTGGCAGATTTCTGGCAGAATTCTGCAACAATGGTTATTTGACAGAAAAACAGCAAATATAAAAAAAAAAAAACATTTGTTTACAAAAGCTCAAATCTTTTCAAACAAACCCTTGCAAAATAAGGGTTGAGGTTCACTGGGAACCGGATTTTGTCGTGACGCAACCGCGTTTTGCCTGAAATTTATGCAATTTCATATTATCTTGATGTGGCTATAGATGTTATTTTGAACATTAATAAAGGCAACATCTTCATGTGATTTAATCTAGTAATTCTGGGGATTTGCACCAAACAAAACTTGCAATAACTCCTTTTCCTCGAATACACGTAATGCATACGAACTGGTCTCTCTACGAAGCCGATTACAAAACCTGCTACATGTATATTCTCATTGCACGTAGTGTTAAAACATCAGCTAAAGAAATGACCCCTCCTGAACAATACGTGATCATTGGCAAATTATGTGAACAATCCAAATGAGGCTTGGTCCACAGCTGTAACTGACCAAGTTTGAAATTAATTGGAAAGAAGCATTTTGTATTTTTGAAGAAAATGACCACTAGTGACCACTTGGCAATCATTGACCTCACATACTGGTTTTTTTTTTAATTGGTCACGTGACCGTTTGCCCGAAGAAAGAAAGAAAGAAAAGAAGAAAGACTTTTTTTGACTTTTCCAAGTGAAACCTTTTATTTCACAACGAAAACGCTATTTACAAGAAAAAATACAATTTAAGAAAAGAAATATACAAAAATACAAACTACCTGATGAGAAACAAACGAAAAGTTTAAGCAAACTTTAGAAGAAATAAAGAAACAAAGAAATAAAGCCCAATTGGGCACATTCCAGGACACAGTGTGCCTTTAAAATTGATGAATTCTGGACTGGTAAAGCAAAAAGAAATTTGTTAATGGAAGTGAATAAAAACTACTCATTTGTTTTCTCAAATAGACTGAAAAATGAAAGTTTACTATTATGAATGGTTTATTTTAATTGTACTCCTTGCCACCAGTGGCCGAATTGCGAATACAATTTACATTACAAAAAAACACACAAATAAATAATATTATTTGTTGATTCATGCATTAAATATGGAGAAAAAAAATAGAACTCAATACAAATTGATAGAAAAGGGGTTGTTTACGAAACTTAACAGTAAAATAAGCCGGAATAAAGAATAGGTAATGGGAAGAAGATAGGAATAGGAACATTGAAAGGGGTTGGGATGGGGTAAAGGAGAGCAAAGGGGTGAATTACACATTCAAGCTTGAGATTTGAAAAGGCGTTCGTATTGTGGCGGGACTGTTCCCGAACCAAGTTATTCCTCGGACCAGGGACAACACAAAGCAGTCTAAAGGCTAAGGATGCAGGCTCGTTTTGGGTGGAAATCTACCGCCGCAGGAATTGATCCCTAAACCTTCTGTTAATTAGACAATAACACAATAACAAGGACAACTGGCAACTGAATGGTCGGTAATCTCAAGTAACACGATGATCTATTTCAGAGACAACAATTAAATGATTCAATGATTTGGGAGTAATTGTCTTGGGTAGCTTTATTACAACCTGTGGTTTTTCGAAAATGAGCGCTATTTGCAATACACAACTAATATCGCACTGCTCACCCCAATAATCACTTCACAAACTAATGCTGCATTGCAGGAACGTTATAGCAAGGCATAACCAATACTGCAATATAGGCAACGCTACAGTAATGCACAACCAATGCTGCAATACATGAACGATATAGCAATGCACAGACCAATGCTGCAATACATGAACGCTATAGCAATGCACAACCAATACTGCAATATAGAAACACTACAGCAACGCAACAACCAATGCTGCACTGCCTAAACAATATCGCATTGCATAGCTCAGTGCCACTGTGGAGATATGGTTTGTGCGCACGTAGCACTACGAAACCATGGGCCCAGCCCCAATCAACCACAATGCAACCACAAGTGTACGGCTAAACTGTCCAACAGTTCGCCCGCGCGTAGCTAGCATATAGCGCAAATCACCATATAGCAATACACGCCACAGCGAGAGCACACTCAACTCACGTTCGTACAGCTCGCTGCCATTTACCAGAAACTTCTACACATACGTACGTAGCATGCAATCTACTTACGCGCATACATAGCACATGCACTAAACCATTATGATGCACTAAACATATTAGGCCATCAGCTGAAACTCAAAAACTGGCTGTAAAATGAGTTTTGTTCCAGCAACACTGGGTCTACTTTTTTAATGCATATATGTGGGGTTTAGTACATCACAAACACTATGTCAAAAGTTCTCCAGCAAATATGCTGCATTTTTTTTTACACTTCATCAAAGTTTGCCAATGTTATGTACATGTATGTATGCTAAAAACCCACATTTTCCGGTTTGAGGTCTTGCGTTGGCACTTCCAATTTCAAAACTACGCACGTACAGCACTATAGCTTGTCACATCCTACACTCTAGAAACTCCTGGGTCAGACTCAGTCTGCTCTGTCCTTTTCCGGCTCAAATTGACCCATTTTGGAGTCATAAATGACCCCTTTGGAGTAAAAAAAAAAGACATGTTTCTCGGTCATTTTGACTGAAATGTGTATTTTTTTTACCCAGAAAAGGACTGAGCAAATTTGGATTCAGATTCTGGGTCAATCTGACCCAGGAGATTATAGAGTTAAAAAATATCTTTAATGTACATTGACAAGTGGGTCACACCGAACATGACCTTTTGCTTTCTCATCTGGTAGACATCACCACAGTCCCTCTTCCAAAATATATTTCACTGTAATCTAACTTATTTGGCAGCATACAACAATGCAATTATTTTGAAGGTTTATAATGCAGTGGTGGAGTGAGGGGGTGCCCAAAATGGAGGTGTCTTTAGAGTTAATAAATACCTGTACATGTAACCAGCAGAAGAAACAGGAAAGCAGACAAGACATGTCCCTTTAAACAAAGCAAACTAACGCATATAAAAAAAATACAAAAAATGGGTGCTATGCCCCCCAAACCCTCTGGATCTGCTGTGGTGAACCAGGTACGTCACTGAAAGAACCTTCTACTTGTAAGAAAGACCACCTTTTTTTTGGAATGAAACAGGCTTAAAATACAATTATAAATCAAAGGACCATCAGATAGAAGTCAGAGTCTGGTTTAATAATTTCAAAAATCAACCATTGTACATATATTTGCAATCTAATCAAAACAGCCATCTTGGTTTGGAGAAAAGCCTTAAGATCAGTCTTTTGTCAAAGAAAATTTCAGCTTTTTATTTATTAATACATAATGATTAGCATCGAAAAGTGTTTGCATGTATATCAATAAAAAGAAAACAAAACCATAACTCATGCTATTTTGTATGCTTACACATTAAAGAGAGTGATTTGGCTTGTCATATGTGGCTAGTCTCACTGTTAAAATTCACAGAATTTGCCTTTCTACTGGAACTAATTTTTAATAATTGAAAAGAATTAAAATGAATAAAACCAACACTAATGAACAGAAGGATACAATTATGTAGTTTTGAAATCTAGAGTTACTAATTATTTTCATTATAATGTCAAATGCTAACTAGTCGTGCTGATTCAACTTCCAGTAAATGTTATCACTACATCAAAGTTCTCATCAAATCGTGTGCAGTAACGGCATAACAACAGGATGGAGCGTATGTCTTGTTTTCTAAGCCTAAGTTTCAGTTCTGAAGTCCCCAGAGATTCAACCACACATCCAGCATATAAAGTAGCGGTGTAGATGATGTCGCATATATTCAAGGAAAGAGACCTGTGGATATTCTCTTCTAAGCCGATATGTCAACTTATCAGTTCTGTAAACAAAAAAAATAGTAAAATATAGACAGGTTTAGTATCTGACGATCAAAAACAATGATTACTGTGGATGTGCTTTAGAAGAAAGAAAACAACTTGTTCAATCTAGAGTTAAATTACTAGAAAGATCACGTGCCCGATCGTTTTGCCTTCCACTGTAAATATGTAAACATTGGTAGCTATTGAGAACCAACCTTTTCAGCTTCCAAAGCAATATCAAGAGGTTTTCAATTTGAATATTCTATTAAAGTTTATTTCTGTTTGCACTCTGAATAACAATCAAAACATCTTACCGATATAAAGAACCAAGGCTAGTTCCTTCGGCTTCTAAATCATTTCATGATTCCAACAGTTCAGCAAGCTAGGACATTCTCATGAAACTAAGTTGTTGATCGGGGTTGAACAGTTGACTCTTCGAGAAATATTGCAACATGACAAACGATATATTCATCCAGTCAGAGTCCGTGTCATCGCTCAAGGTACTGGGGACCACGAAATGTAGTTTGCTGTTGCAGATTCCTCTGCTGCAGTACTTTGCACAGTCTACGACAAAACCAAGACAAGCAAACTGAAAGTGGATGATTCGGTCTTGATCATCAATGCTGTCGTAAAGACGCATCCACGGAAGTGTATTCAAATAGGCAAGAACACCAAAGTCATCAATACGGGAACCATTGACGTTACTCCTGCCCTCAGATGTGAAGCCATGCAGATGGTTCTACCTTCCAGAGCTGACTTCACATCTATTCGCAATATCAAAACATCTCCACTGAAGAAAATAGTCTCCGTAGAGGGACAAGTTGTTGCCGTGAGTATCACTTCACATATTTCATCCCCCTGTGCGGCACAGTAATATTTACACAAATCTTCAGTGTTTAATATAAGATGATTGAAGATTCTTTTGTTACCGAAAACTTGTTGCCGGCCAAGAAAACATGTTGCAAATTACCATCTGATCTCTGCAGCCAGCAACACAAACATGCTGTGAATTATGCTGTGCGCTATTTACACTGTGAGCTATGCTATTGCTAGTGTGTGTTTGGCTTGCAAGTACTCATGGTATTATGTACAATGTGTATATTTTAATTTTCGGTGGGATACATGTGAGTTTGTACTTTATCAAAAGCAAATCACACAATTTTGCAATTTTTTACACTCCTTTGGGACAGATGAGGAGCGCAGTAGGAGTGCCTGCACGATCACGCTCCTTAAAAATGAAGAACTGTGAACCCTGAGTGATTGACAATTTCAAAAGAAATGTACAACACAAAACTGATCTTGTCATGTATACATTCCATATATGTCACGTCATTGAAGTTAGTACGCGTTTACGTCACTGAAGTAAGAACACATCTATCTCGATGCCTGCACTTGGAGACGATATTGCTTCTCTTAGTCAGTGTACACTGGAAAATAGAATGAATGAAAATTTAATTGAACATTGACTCCATGTTACAGTAATGAAATATTTTCCCTGAATAAACTAATATTCATTTTTATATTATCTGTCTTTAGCAAGGAATACCCCAGACAGTACAGGCAAAAAGAAGAAACACTGTTGTGAAGAACATCTCAGTGCGTGGTGGCGGGGACAAATGCAGGGTTGCATTATGGCGAGACAAGACAGAACGGGACATCAATGTTGGAGACTACCTCCAGATCACCAATGTGCTAACCTGTCAGTTTCAGGATGACATCTACGTGTCTTCAACAAGAGATAGTGAAATTCAGGTACATTTATTAACATCATGAAAAAAAGGGTTTTCCCTAGTTGTTTTTCAGAACCAAAGAAACTAACAACAGTTTTGTCACACGACGAAACTGCAAACCTTTTTTCCTGTCATAACAAACTAGACACATATGAATAAAAATAAATTTCCTTGCGTATGACAAAAAAAGCAAAAACATATTTAAGGAATGAGCCCACTTGGGCTACAAAACGAGCTATTAAGGAAATATTGTTAACTCGAAAGAACAGACTTGGATATAAAAAACCACATACCTATCCTTTATACTATTCTTGTGTTATGTGTGCGAGAACGACTTTCGGGTTCCACTTTTGCGACACCAGAAAGTCGGCCTGTTCATGCTAGTTATGATTCCAGCCGTAAATACACGTCTTTTGCGGACGCGTAAGAAACCACATTTCGTCGGGTGCCTGGAAGAAGGTCGTAAGGGCGAAAATGGGTCAAAAGGTCAAATTCAGATTTTGTGGATGATCGATAGAGCTTGGAATTATCTTTCATTTGATATACATATTGTCTCAAGGGGCTACCTCACTCTGACGTAATGAACAGTAAAGAAAAGACGGAAGGAGGATTTTGATTATTTGTACCCGGCAAAATGACGTTAACGTGTATTACTAATGTAACAAAAATGTTTGAAGCGCGCTAACATCCCACTCAAGCGGGTACGCAAAGCCAATATTGTTCCGGAAAAAGGGCGTAAGGATTTAATATGCCGCTTAAGCATATGTTTAAGGCTTGGAAAGTTCCCGGTAAGAGGTCGTTAGTATAAAAATTTAAATAACGAAGGTCATCAGTCAACATTTCAATTGTTTTTACTCACCCTTTATATTTGTTTCACCATAAAATCCATGTACATGTTGTCACAACTTCACAGAACGTCGATGGCCCAGTTGATGCAGCTGCAGAAATTACAGTCATCGGATACGAGGACTTCGGTGACACCCTGAAACTAACATCAGATGAAGATGGCTACTTTACGTATGACATCAAGTTGGATACACTTAAGGCAGTCTTCAACGTTGACGCAGAGGAAGTAACACTCGAATTGAGTACTAGAATACCGTTTAAGTGCCAAGTACTTCCTAGTGGGGAAAATCCAAGTTACTTCTCGCTTTCTCTGTGAGCTACTTGGTCATACATGTTTTATCATACATTTTGACGTTCTTAACTATTTACTTTTGTATTTTCTGTTAACATGTAATAAATCACGAAATGATTCGTTCTACCTAAATTCAGACAGAAACAAAATTCAAATTTGCATAAATCAGCGTCAATTCGGGCAATTCACAATGCAGTGCGCCACAAACATTTTACCACGAAGTATGGTGGCCCTCCTGAATTAATTCACGGTGGACAAGAATTTATTCAAGACCAGTCATGCATATGTTTGCAACTAGTCGTGAACAAATTCATGACTATATTCACAAATTTTGTTGTGAATATTTTTTTCAGTAGCTTGGGGTGTATTCAAACCGGTAATAGACTCACTACCTCGGTGCTAGTTAGCTATAGCTTATACAGGCGTAGTCTGGTTCCCAGGCCCCACACCAAAATATTCAATTTCTGATAAACCAGAGTATGTTCAGTGTCACACAGGTCGAGTTTATATCTGCACTGCTATCCCATCATGCACACTGTAGAACCCTTCAAGTTACTGGAATATTTTACGACACAAACATTCACAACTAGTCACAAAAACATTCTCGACGTTGAAAAAAATGTTCGCAACCGGTCGTAAATAAATTCGCAACTAGTCGCAAAAACATCCATGACTAGTCTTGAATAAATTAACGAATAGTTGTGAACAAATTTCCCGACGTCACACAAAAAAATAACGACGTCTTTTGTCCCTATAGGGCCACCATAACGAAGAGTTCATTTTTCCCACTGCATTGTGGTAGATAGTTGACAAATTCGCAGTGCGAAACGTTTGGAATGGTTAGTTTTTCTGGCCAGTATTTTCCTAAGCATGTTGGTCCTTTTTTTATATCAATGTTATGTTTTTGGACAAACAAAAAGAAGTCTCCGTCGCCGTAGCCATGCGCGTCGGCAAAATGAAAAAGTTTTTTTTTTCAACGAAGATGATGTCTCAAAACCGCCAAACTCTCTGGTTTGACTGGAATCCTGCTGCTGCACAATTTTAACGTGTTTTTTGATGGGGTTATGATCGAGAATAAGCTTTACGTGGCTTCTCTGGACACCCATATATTTGCACGAAGTTTAGTCGGGCATCATTTGCAGTCACCAGCCGACATTTGAAGCAAAAAAAACAGGTAAAAAAAAAGATAAGCCGCGTCGCCGCACCACTTTTTGGGCAAGCTCCATCCCAGAAACCGGAGACTTTTTTATGGCCATGCAGGGCCCAATCTGTAACAAATTAGCCCAAATTGTGTACTGATTCTCGTTCATATGTGCATGTTTTTTCGACCGTAAACTTGAAAAATGGACTCTCTCGGTGGCGCATTGCATTGTGAATCGCCCAGATTGAAGAAAGTGTTTTACATGGACATGTATATTCAAACTTTTTGCTGATTTTGTCTTAATAGTGTGCGATTACAAATCACTTGGCGGGATTAAGTAGATAGTACTTGATGAATATTCTGGAAAATCCTACATTTGATAATCATAGTTTTATTTCAAACCAGCTTGAAAAAACCTTTAAAAAAATGGAAATCATATATGCATCAATTAAACCATTGTCATTTTAGAAACCAATGAAACTTACATTTTGAGATTCAGGCCAAAATAGGTCTACTTCATTACATAACTTCATCACATCTCTTCGTGTTCTGACTTCCATTCGAAATATGGGACCAGTGCCATGCAGTTTTCACATCAGAAATGCTGATATTGTGCTCTTTTTAAATCTGTAAAAAAACCTTACCAGGGCCGACAAACGATTCATTTAGCTTGATCACATCAATGCTTTGCAGCCTCCATTATTTTGCTGCCTGTTGGCATACAAAGCATTCTATCCATAAGCATTGTGATATCATTGTTTGGATGGCACCGTACACTTCATGCATGCAGAGTATGGCTAGATACAAACGAGATGGCATCCAACACAAACAAACACAAACTCGTCGTACATTTCGCTTTGGAAAAAAAAACATTTGAAATTTTATCTTTTATTTACATGCTGATCGTGTTCTTTGTTGCTATTTCGACAATATAAAACGTTTTTTGATGTTCCAAAATTTTTACAAAATGGTTTGACACTGGGTTGATGACTGTTGACACTTATTGACACCAGTTGAAGCTTGTTGATGTATTTTTGTAGGACCGAAGTTTACATGAATGTCGATACAAAGAAACTAATATTTGAATTAAGCACAACATTACCATTCAAGTGCCAAATTCTTCCAAGTGCAGAACATCCTGGTTGTTTCTTACATTCTCTGTGAGCTGTAACATCTCTCGAAATGATTCATTCGACCTAAATCCAGAGAGAAAACAAGTTAAAATTAAAAATACAACATTTGCTAACATCAAAAAACGAAATGATCACATTATCACAAAATACCTTACTGGATTGTTAGGAAAAGTCTAAAGCATCCTTTGAAATTGTGACTCCTGGTGTGCTGACATTTTGCAAGAAAAACTGTATTTTTCCAACACTGGTCGGCAAATCAACGTTGGAGAAAACTGGTTTTTCAAAAAATGTTAAATTTTTTTTAATTTAGTCATCTGACTGCAAAGAAAAGTCTTGAAAAATTATGAATAGTTTTGAAAAAGCCAGTTTTCTCCAACGCTGGTCAGCCGACCGGCGTTGGAAAAATACAGTTTTTCTTGAAAATGTCAGCACACCAGGAGCCAAGATTTTAACAGATGCTAGTAAAGTATTTCGTGATAAATTGATCATTTCGTTTTTTGACGTTTGCAAATGGTGTATCTTAATTCCCTTTAACTTCAGATCAACATGGTTATCTGACCTATGATATCAGTTGGATACTGAGTGTTCAATGTCGATGCAGACGAAATAACTTGAATTGAGTGCAAAGATACCATTCAAGTGCCAACCTCTTCCAAGTGGGGAGCATCCTGGCTTTGTCGTTTCTCACTTTCTCTGTGACTCTCTGAGCCGTAATGTTCAGCTACTTGCTGTATTGGTGGTAGAATTAGATGCTGTATGTAAATTAGTTGTAAGTCATAATTATGAGCACGTTCCAGAAAGGGCCAATAGTTGACTATATAAAAATAGTGCTTGATTTGTGACATAACTTACGCCTGTGCGAACATCTCTAATCTTGGCTTTGCAGCCTCTGCTAACAACATAATTCTGCACTAACGATCACAATTTATTTTATGCTATTGCACTAGCAGAAAAAATGCTGTGCTATCCCTGTAAGCACACAATCCTTTATAGTTACAGTATGTAGGCATGCGCTGAAACCAAGTTTTGCCGCTAATGCGTGAAAAACGCTTACCGTAAGCACAACATTTTCTGGTAGAGTAAGCAGCGATTTTTCGCTAACTTAACTTAAGCAGAGCCAAGAAATTGGGCCCTGGGAGCTGTTAAGCACAAAATTTGTTCAGCATAAAAAGTAGGGCTTTTAAAACCAAGTTACCAGCCAAAACTCCTTGTGATTTTCATGCTAAGCAAACAACAGCTGAATACCAACTACAAGCAAATACACCAAATGGACATTTGGTTGGCAATCGATCCTGTTTTTGCAAAAAGGCAGACTTTTCATCCTAAGCAAATTTTTGTGCTGCCTTAGAAGCTCCATGAAATTGGTCAATATCATCGCAAGACTTCTGGATATTGGCTCTCTGCTGTACTATACGAATGTACCCAGCCAAGTTAGCCCATACATGTGGCCAATTAACTGGATTACCTCCATAAATAAAGGTCACACTTCCACAATGTACAAAAACATGTCAAAGTTTGTCAAATTTTGATTTTCACATTTAGGCTTAGTTTGTAGTTTATTATTGTTTGAGAAGCATACTCACCCTCAAGTGCTGCCTTTTTCATATGTGTAATTTTGGTGAAATTCTATGTTACAATTTTGATACGCAAATGTGTGCAAACGAATCTAGAAATTTCACGAAAAATAGACATCTGAAAAAGGAAGCACTTTCTGATTAGCCTATACAGAGGGTGAGTATCCCTCTTTATTCACGGAGGTAATTCAGTAAATTGGCCACATTTATGGGGCTACAGCGGCAGGCCAACTATGCAACCAGGCTCAGTAGAGGCGACTAGACAGTGTTCGGGCTAACTTAGTCGAACTAATTAGGTTATTATAACCCGGTCAACAATAGTTCTTGCGCAAACTTGCCCAAAGTTTTATCATACATTGTAACTCTCTCGACCATTTGTACTTTTGTATTTGGGAGTAATTGCAGAATACCCCGCCACCTGGAAATACAACCCTAAAATCACTGGCTACGCGAATGGAATCACTGGAAAAGAAGCAATTCAAGTGCATTGCCAGCTATGCGGATACTGAATGGGGGTCCATTATTTGAGAATGAAACAACACAAAAGGAATGGGAGTCCAGACCAACTACCCTGTTGGCAGCTACCCGGATACGGAGTGGGAGTGCAGTGGAGGGTGCATGACCACTATTACATACAACTGGCGCTGAGAAGGTTCATTGACGCCTCAACCATGACTCCGTAGCCGGCTACGAAGTGCATAGATATAGATTGAGTGGCGGGGTATTCTGCAATTGTGCCTGTAATATTTCCCGATAACAAGTAATACATCACGAAATGATTCGTTCTAGTAGTAGTACCTAAATCAAGAGTGAACAGAAGTTAAAATGTGCATGAATCAGCTTCAATTCGGGAAATTCACAACGCAGTGCGCCGCCAAGAGTTTGCCACGAAGCATGGTGGCCCTGAAGGGACACAACATTCTCTTGAATTTTTTTTGCGACGTCGTGAACATAATCACGACTAGTCGTGTACCTATTCAAGACTAGACCGGACGTGTATATTTTTGCGACTAGCCTTGAACAAATTCACTACTAGTCGTAAAAATATTCATAACATCGCAAAAGTATCAGCCGACAGCCAATATATTCACGACTAGTCGCAAAAATATTAACAACAAGTCTTGAATATTTTTGCGACGTCATCTCATGAATATTTGTGCGACTAGTCGTGAATTT